CAAAATTTCATTCAGAGCCAATTTCAACTTCACAGCGAAGGATATTGGACTCCAGACAATGCAAGTTCAACTTCACGACGAAGGGACCGCTGTTTGTCAACAACAACTTCCCAATCCCAGAGCCAATTTCAACTTTACAACGAAAGATATTGGACTCCAGACAACGCAAGTTCAACTTCACGACGAAGGGACCGCTGCTTGTCAACAAAATTTCATTCAGATTCAATTTCAACTTCACAACGAAGGATATTGGACTCGAGGCAACACAAGTTCAACTTCACAACGAAGGGACGGCTGGTTGTCAACAAACAATTTCCCGGTTCCAGAGCCAATTTCAACTTCACGACGGAGGATATTGGACTTGGAACAATGCTACTTACTTGGATTTCAACTTCACGACGAAGGCTATCCAACTCAAAGAAAGATTATCTGCCATCAAAATTGTCGAGTTCGACTCCATTCAGCTCGATGACACATCAATCACACTACTTTCCGGTTGCAGTCGAGGTTTTCAAGTCGAGAAGAGGACCTGGGTTAGCCATGCCTTAGTGACAAGCAACCATTTTCAAACAGCATAGCTTAAGTCAAAGCTATCTGTCAATGAAGATTTCTGAGTTCGATTCCGATCCAAGGTCTTTAAACCGAGAAGAAGACCGAAGGGTAACGGGAAGCCACGTGCTGATTCAAATTCCGAACTACGGCTTTAATTTCATATCATTTCAAGATGAACTCGACTTCACGATGGAGGAGTCATCCGTAACTCAATTCGACAGGGAGTTATTGAAACATCAGAGTCAATTTTCAACTCAACCGAACGAAAAGTGTGTCTTTTAATCTTTGCCCTATCCCCGTTATACGACTATGGGCAAAGAGGGGCAGCTGTCAACACACATTTTCGTCCTACTAGGATTCAAACTCCTAAAAATAGGATAGAATTTTAGGATTCAAACTCCTAAAAATAGGATAACATTTTGCTATGATTCAAACTCCTAAAAATAGGATAGAGTTCTACTATGATTTAAACTCCTAAAGATAGGATCCACAAGCACTATAAATAGCCATTGTAACTCACCATTGTAACAGACGATTTACACACAAAACACAGAGGAAAGCACGGAAAATACAAAGGTAAAGTTGTTGTAAACGATTCGAAAAGGAAATAAAAGGTAGCATCTTTTTTTACATTGGTTCGTTCATTTCTCGCATGTGCACGTTATTTTTCTTGAGATTTGGTTCGAATAACCCAAAACGTGGGTTGCGCCGATGACTAAAAAAGGGTGGAATTTCGAAGTTTCGAACCTAGATCTACCCCCGAGGCGTGTTCATTTTTTTAAAATATTTAATTCTCCCCCCTAAATCATTTTTTTCCTACTTTATTATTCTTGTTATATATGCATATTACTTTCTATTAATTTTATTATATATGTATATATGTTTTTTTATTAGTGTTATTATATATATATATATTTATATTTCCTATTTTGCATGTATATATATGTATATTACTTTTGATTTTCTTTTATTTATTATTATTATTTTACTTATATATATATGCTTTTATTTGTTTTACTTTATTTATCATTTATTCATCTCTTCTAATCCATATTTTGACTTTTAAAGGGTATATTTGTAAATTCGTCAAAGGTAAGTAATTTTGGATCATTATTTTATCTTTTAATTTAACTTGTTATTTTTCTTAATTAAGACAACTGGAAATTACGTAGTACCGAAAGGGCGGTTCAAGGGTGCTAATCCTTCCTTGACCGTAACCGACTCCCGAGCCCGACATATTTCTGGTAAGACGCAGATCAGGTAAGAAATAGGGTATCCGATCAACCCATTTATCTTTAAATAAATGATCGGTGGCGACTCCAATCCATTTACCTAAGTCGAAGCCCAATTCTGGGGGCCCAACTGAAAGACGGTTGCGACAATAAGATATAATTTTTATAATTTAAATTAAGATATAATATTTTTAGAATTGAAGATTATTCCTTATATAATCTGTGAGGTTACTAACAGGTGGGTATGAACGTGTATAAGTGAGTACGAGAAAGGTGGCGGTTAACTAGTTGGGTAGTGAGAGTAGATTTTAGAATATACTCACATAAGCGGTATGGATTTAAAAATTTTATCCATCGTGAGTGGTTAGTAGATGACGAATACACATATATTAGATGAATATGGAGATGGGAAGGGGTACATGTACCTGTACTTGCACCTGCCTCCCCCCGCCCTGTCTCATCACGCCTATTTGTCATCTTTAAATTGTTCACTCGTGTCTCATATGAAAAATTATTAGATAGACCAAACTTATTACGTCATTCGTAATTTTAATTATAACATTTTTTATCTTATTTTTTTAGTGAATCTTTTTTTTTCTATATGTAAATAAAGAGTAGAGAGTTATTTTAAAATTATGATTCACTATAAATAATATGATAAATCGGGAACTTAAAATAATTCCTCGTTTGTTTGTTTCCCTTCAATAAAAATTTGCCACGTCGGATTAACCAATAACAGTGTATATAAATGGGGTAAACTACACTAATAATCACTTAACTTTTAAAATGCTTTCATTTTGTTCACAAGAATCAAATATTTTCATCAAAATAACTGTTGGTGATGAAAACTTCCATTTAAACGCACAAACTAACGTATCATAATTTTTTTTTGTTGCCTTTGACAAAGCAAAATCAATTTTGTACACATGGGTGACGCAAAATGAAGACAAAAGCATCGTCGCCAATTCCACTCAATTATTTGTCACGGAAGAAGATGATGGAGAGAACCTTTCCAAGATAAGTATAAAGATGAAAACTTTCAGACAAAACGAGGATCAACAACGAAGAAACGAACGATAAACAGATTTTATCATGGTGAAGTGAAGAAGGGGGGAGAGAGAGGTTAAGGAAAGAAAGAGAAAAAGCTTCACACAACAATAGCTTCTTTTCAGTAATCCCCGGTCTCTTTAGATCCCCTTAATCTCTTTACTGAGACTACTTAACTTTCTCTCTTTCAAAAAGGCCCCCATTTTCTTCAAAGCTTCTTACTTTCTAAAGGCTGCAACTTTAACCTCAGTTCACTAATGTAAGTTACTTCCTCTTTCCTGGGTCTTTTATTCTGCTTGGTGTTTTAAGGAAGTTGTAGCTGTTCTTTTAACTCAGCTCTACTTTATTTTTTGTTTTATGGCATGACTTCAGCTTTTGTATTTTTCTCAAATAACTACGTGTGTAAATTGTTCTCTTTGGCTGGTGATTTTACCGTGAAAGATGATTCGTTTGTAACATTAAAAGGTTATCTCTTTGATCTGTGTTCTGAGTTTTGGTTTCTTGGAATATGAACCTGGAAACAAGTTCTTCATCGACTTCTTACAATTTGGAGCTCCACTTAACCATTTTGTATCAAACTATCGTTTTAGTTACTTAAAATAAGCTTGTAAGCTGACTTGAAAGCACATTCAAGTACATTTTATTCGAGGAAGATGCATGGATCGAAAGGATGCTATGGCATTACCAGGGTCTGGATCATATAATATTCAACAAAGAGAGATAACTGGTTGGGGATCCGGAATACACGGATCACCAGGCATTCATATATTACCTAGATCAAATGTACAATAACGTGTATCAGTGCCACTACCGTGGGATCGACCTCACCTGTGTAGTCTTCACCGGCAGTTACGACCCCTCACAGTGTCGATCTAGGCACACCTTCAGCTGTGCCTCCTAGTGAGACCGTGAAACGGAAGCAAGGAAGGCCCCGGAAGTATGGACCGGATGGGACTGTTTCATTGGCATTGACTCCTGCTGCATCAGCGACTCATCCTGGGATGATAACAGCGAGCCAGAAACGAGGAAGAGGGCGGCCACTGGGTACCGGAAGGAAGCAACAACTTGCTTCCCTTGTGTCCTAATGTTAATGCTGGAATGTAAATTGTTGGTGTCCTAATGTTTTGCCTGTTCTGTTCTTGCTCTGTGTTTAATGTTGCCAATATGTCCACTTGTTTTGCTAGGTAGGTGTATGACTCTCTGGTTCGGCATGGATGGTATTTACGCCGCACGTCATCACCGTTGCAACCAGAGAAGTATGCAGTTTTCTTTTATTTATCACTATCTGGTTCCTACCCTCTAAAATATACTAGATATTAGGAGTCAATAGAGAGAAATATTAGGCCTAGTTGTACCCTGTTTCTCTCTGAAAACTAAGGCTTGAATTTTTCTTGTAGGATATTGCAACAAAATTAATGTCATTTTCACAGTAAGGGCCGAGAGCAATATTCATTTTGTCAGCCAATGAGGATGTCTCTACTCTAACTGGTACCGTCACATACGAGGTTTGAGCACTCAATAACCATATTCTGGCTGCTAATTTATTCTGAAATTCTTAAGTTAATGCATATAGTGTCCATTTTGATTTCCTTAGGGGCGTTTCGAGATATTATGCTTGTCAGGCTCGTACCTCTTGACCAGCGACAGTGGCTCAAGCAATCGAACCGACAGTCTTAGTGTGTCCCTTGCCAATCCTGATGGCCATGTCATCCGCGGAGGTGTTGGTGGGATGCTTATCGCCGCCAGCCCAGTTCAGGTAGCCTTTCGGTTGCCATGCCAGTTCTAATTGGTTAATGCTAGTTTTTGTAAGGCATGCTGCTCAAACTGTTTATGTCTGTTAAAATATAATGATGGACCATTACTGAACTTGAATGAATCAGGTGACAGAGGGAAGTTTTCTTTGGGGTGGTTCCAAGACAAAGAACAAGAAAGGCAGAGGCCAAGACGAACTAAAGGACATCGATAATCAGAGTGTTGATGATCAAGCAGCACCGCCTGGCATTTCACCAACTCAAAATCCTACTCCATCATTTTCGGCAGGTGTGTGGCCTGGTCCACGATCGATCGATGTACGCAACAATTCCCATGTCGACATTGATCTAATGCGCGGATGATTCTTTCCTCTAATAATTTCATGAGGGCTAAGGTGTTTGAAGTGTATTAACATCTATGGTGATGGAAGAAGTGTGAGGGCTAAGTTTAATGAGGAATTGTGTATCATCACCACCCATTGGAAAACACTAGCTATCCCAACACATTTCCTTTAACAAATTCTGGTACTGAACTGAAACTGCATATTTCCTTTAATAGGCTTCAACTTCAATACTCTCTACTCAAATTTGTAAGATCGTTTTAACAATTTCCTCCATTGAAATCCAAGATGAACATGTTTCAAATCTCACTGGTCATCCTGTTCTCCTCCGTGGTTTTCAAAGCTTGAGAGAGGAGCACAATCTTGCTTTCGGGGTCATTTCTGTTGTTCGGATGGTGCTGGTCGAAATGGTGCATGGGACTGGTAATGTTGCAGCTTTTATGCCTACTTGCACACATCATTGTCAAGTGAAGCAAATTTCACCAGTTTAATCTTTTTTACGATGTTGTCAAGTGAAGCGAATTTATCAGATCTAATCAATAATTGGATAACCGCTTTTTGCTATAAAGCAACAATAAATTATTATATAAAAAATTAGTATAACTTTTCTTGGAACAAAATGACAATTTTTAAATATGAGGGGTTAAAATTATTGAATTGATTTGAAATAGGACTAATTTGATAGATTGTATAAGTTTTAAGGACTAAAACTATTAGGGTAAAATATGCATTTAGTACCTAAACTATCAGTTTTTATTCGTTTTAGTGCCTAAACTTTCAACTTTTTCAAAACAATACCTAACGTTTAGTTTTCATTTCATTTTAGTACCCTGTCGTTAAAACTTAACGCGTTTAGTACCTAAACTATCATTTTTTGTCTGTTTTAGTACCTAAACTTTATTTTTTTTTTCAAAATTTGATGTTAAATTTTGAAAATGGATACTAAAATGAAATAAAAACTAAACTTTAGGTATGATTTTGAAAAAATAAAAGTTTAAGTACTAAAAGGAATCAAAACTAATAATTGAGGTACTAAATACGTAATTTACCCAAACTAGTATGACATATTACTATTTACACTAATATTTATGCTTGTAAAGAAATATATGAATTGAGTGATATGTTTATGATTTAAAAAGGGTAAATTACATTGTTCCTCATTGTACTTTACTCTATTGTTCCTCACTGAACTTTACTCTCTCTCCTATTTTCCTCACCCAACTTTCAATTTGATTAATTTGCTCACTCTGTCGTTAATTATTTAATGGCGTTATGACGTGGCACCTGCATCAAAACGACGTCGTTTTGAAAAACTCAAATTTACTCTAAAATGAAGTCATTTCAATGAGTAAAATAGGAGAGAGAGTAAAGTTCAGTGACTCATGGTGTAATTTACCCTTTTTCCTTCTCTTCATTTTCTCTCCGCCAGCCACCATGTCATTTTCATTCCGGCCACCGTCGACCGCCATAGAGGGTGACCGTTCGGTCCCAAAATTCATGGTTCGATTCGTCTCAACTCCCTAAGTTCGAATTTAGTGGTTGTTTCACCGGAAAATGTTCCAAAACATGTGAATTTGGACTGAAATGTTTCGGTTTCCTCATTTTCAATCTCAAATTCGTGGACTTCGGAGCAAGTTCCGTCAAAATGGATGTCGAATTTGGACTCAAGGTATCGAGGCGAAGCGACCCATCACATTTTAGGACCGAACGACCACCATCTACGACGACCGACGATGGCATGGGCACCTTCTATTTTTTTTAATTATTTTATATTAAATAATAATAAATATCACATCATCCGTTGTTAGAGAGAAAAGTGAGCAAAATAATTCAATTGTAAAGTGCAATGAGCAAATTGATCAAATTGAAAGTTGGGAGAGGAAATTAGGAGAGACAATATAGTTCAGTGAGGAACGGTGTAATTTATCCTTTAAAAAAGCATTCATTTATGATCAAACACATAATTAAGTGACTTGTATTATATTTTTACCAAAATTTAAAATATTACAAGCTCAATCTAGAAACAAGATAGTATCCTTGTTACTTGCATATTGTTCAACACGTTAAATTCAGAGCCACGAGTATATTTAAAAAAAATATGCCACCCCCTTTATATTTGAATCAAGTGTGAGATTTAATCTTTGTATTTAACCGTGTTTTGATCCCAAAGCTATGTAAAATGTAACGAAATTTAACCTTTTGTAACACATCGTGCTGCTCCGAGCGATACTTGCGATGAAACCATGGAAATTTCTGGAAAAAACCAGGCTTTAGAATTGAGAGGGCCGATTTATATATATACTCCACGTCTTCGTGTTGTTGGCACCAAGAAGACATTGAAGATGAAGAGCAAGGGGTTTTTTCCTGCAATTATTCCTTTTATTTGCTTTGTTTTAGTCCTCGCTTGCTTCATTGGCAGAACCAATGGCAGGATACAAGGAAAAAACGCATGCATACCCAGAGGCAAGATAACATGCAGTAACGGGAAGTCCTACCCGATCTACAAATGTTCGCCACCGGTGTCGAACCATACGAAGGCGACATTGATGATTAACAGTTCGAGGAAGGCGGGGACGGTGGCGGACCGTCGGAATGTGACGGTAAATACCACTCTGATGACGACACTATTGTGGCGCTTTCGACCGGGTGGTTTAACCACCAAAAGAGGGGTAAGAAGTATATGAAAATCCATGGTAATGGAAAGAGTGTGAGGGCTAAGGTTGTCGGTGAATGTGACTCTACACGGGGATGTGCTCCTTGTCCTTACAACATCATTGACGCCTCGAAAGCGATATGGAAGACTCTTGGTGTTCCTGAGAGCGATTTGGGCGAAATAGACGTCTACTGGTCCGACTCTGATTGATTCTTTGGATCATATGTTTTTCAAGTATAATGTTATTTTAGAATAAAGATATTTTTTTACGAAAAATATCAGACATGATGTGCAATTCAGTCTACCAAGATCTGTCCTCTCAGATCAAGAAGAATAATAAATCGTTAAATAAAAAAAATTACTTAAATCTATAAGCTTTGTGTTTTTTATAGTTCAAATTAACATAAAAAAAATAATATGATTCTCTAGTCTTTAAGTGTTATTCTTTTCACAATAGAAATTAAGGTTATTACTTACCGTTTGACAATGAACGCTTAATCAAGCTGTAGAGCAGTAGTTGGTATTTGAACTCATAAGCTCTAGAAACAACAACGATTCTTTTAACCACTAATGTAAGTTAAAATGAGAGATTTTTATTCCAAGGAGTGGTTTTATATGGCTATGCCTCTCGAGGAGTTAGTTTGCATAATCGACTTCTCATAGGACTAGTAGAGGATATAATAATATGTGTTGGTACTGCTTAAAACACTACCGCACATTGAGTGGGAAATACCAATAGACTTATAGTGTTCATTATTCCTTTATCGAGTGATAGAGAACAAAATAAGGATAATATTGTGCGTTATTGCCGTAGTCTTGTGCTTGGGGACGAGGTTGTTCATTTGTTCATTATATTTTATTTTGTCTTGTCAGTGCTAACGTCTCGTTTTGCCATATTCATTTTCAACTTTGAGATTTTTTCTATTAGGACATTAATTTTATAGCGGTGATCAATTAATCAGTTGAAATATGATATTAGTCAGATTAATCAAATTTTCAACTCTTGATTCGAACCAATAGATTATTCTCCCCAATCAACCTAGGCATTTATATATGTATATATATCGACATGCAGATTCTAATCTATCTTATTCACATGTATCAAGTTGAAAACAGATGCAAGACTACAAGAAAGCAGGCCTTGTTACTAGCGTTCAACAAACAACTAACAAGTCTACAGGTTTTGCCATTAAATTGGCGTGTTGATTGCCTTGAGTGTCTACGTTAAGTAATTAAAATATTGAGACGGGATAGGATGCTATTGCTGGGAAGCAACGGCTCTGCAATTTATAATACTCAGTAAAAGCTGAGGTGGTTTTTTATAAGCATATATTACTCTGTAAAACGACGATTTATTGGTATTTTGACCTTGTTCTGATTCCCACCTATGTGACGGTTTTTGACCTTTTACGACACGTTAAGCAGATTCTTGCGATAAAATTAAGGAATTTCTGGAAGAAGGGACTTTAAAATTGTAAGGGCTGATTCCTATATAAACCCACATCTTCACGTTCTAGGCACCAAGCCAAGATTTAACACACAAAATGAAGATGAATAGGAATGCTTTGTCCACTGTTTTTCTCTTTACTTGCTTTATTTTAGTTATTACAGACTGTTTCATGGTTGAAGCAGGTTCTTGCAAGCCCAGCGGCAAGCTAAGAGGGAAAAGGCCTCCACCAGGGAAATGCAACGAAGGCAATGATTCTGATTGTTGTCAAGACCGCAAGCTTTACTATACCTATGTGTTCGCCCCAGGTTTCGGGTCACACCAAGGCAACCCTCTCTCTCAACGGATTCGGTCTGGGTGAGGATGGTGGTGGGCGATGCGAATGTGATAACCAGTATCATAACGATACAGAATTGATTGTGGCACTGTCGACGGGATGGTTTAACAAGAAAGAACGGCGTATGAATTATATCAACATACATGGTAACGGGAAAACCGTCAAGGCTAAGGTAGTCGATGAATGTGACTTGACGATGGGATGGGATGTGATACCGACCACGATTACCAGCCTCCTTGTAAGAACGACATCGTTGATGCCTCGGATGCAGTTTGGGATGCCTTAGGAGTGTATGGAGAGAAACGTCGTGAAATGGAGATATACTGGTCTGATGCTTGATTAACCCTTTCGTCCTTCTCATATTTGCCTATGATTCATGCATTAATGTTGTCTTTTGTCTGTTTGGACGGCAAAATCGTCTAAAACGTATACAAATTAACAGTCAGATGCCCCCAATGATGAATATGCAAATGGATACACTTAGTATCTTCAGAATAAGGGAACAGTATCTGCTTTTTTTCTCATAAAGAATCTAAAATAAACTGTGGTTTATTTATTATATCAGCGAGTGCGGTCCTAAACTATTCAGTGCAATGCTTATTATCATAGGGTAATTTCTTGTCTGTATTGCATAAAATGTTGATTTATGACATAGAATTCATAGAATAATCTGCAAATAGTTTAACAACTGATCTAAACGAAATCCATCGACAGCTTGGATGAAAAAGGGTTAGCAACAATTACGACAAAACATAAATATCTGACGGCTCTGATCGGGGCATGTATTCTCTTCCATATCCAATTCTATGGACTCGCTTGAACCAATTAACCAATTGATCACCCTGGAAAGTCACATGACTTGGAGGAGGGATGGTTGCCCTATTGGAAAAGGAAATTAATTAAGGTCAATATCATAAGCATCATATTCAAGTTTATAAAAAGAACACTCACCTGCATCTCTGAGACTATAACGTATACAGTGGTAAACTGCATACCTCATTACCGATCATTGAGAAATTCTCCAAGTTTAAGGGTTTTGTTAGCCAATTCTGAAAAGGAGGTCTCCCCTTGAAAACTTTGGAAGCTAAGGTATATTCTTCGGCCCTGTCCTGCAGATAATAGACCATATCAATCAGCAAATACGGTAATCATTACTCCATGAAAACGACACAATAATACGCATTATTCCAACATTAGAATAGACCTTAAGGAGTATAATTTCTATTCATCGGTGGTAAACTATAATCAAGGCAAAAGAGTTCACAAAGAAACAACAAAAAGCAATCACATGTATAGTGCAGCAGTTCGCTCAAAAAGCATGCGGCTAACGTCTATCACCAGCTTCATATTTGCAAACCGTATCAAAATGCAGCAGCTCAAGGATGAAATTCCATAAAATAAGTCCACAAGTATCCAGAATCATTACCTTGAATTCTCGATAAGAGACCTCACTGAATGAGCATTCGGTTTTGCATTCATCCCTTAGTGACAAGAAAGTTTCCAAAATCCACTTCCTAAGGGGAGATTTTCTAATAAGAACAGGACAAGGACATTAATTTTTTTGTTCTGATATGGTTTGTCGCTTACTTGCACAACAATGATTCAGTAGATGGATAAACTGCCCCTTTAGAGGACGTGCCTTGCTTTCGACCAGTAGTTCCAAGAACAACTTCATGCAGACCAGACTTATTCCAACATATTGAATACCTGAAAATTGATGTATAAATCATATAAAAAAAAGACATAACAATACCTACCGCTATAGTTGGGTACACCAATGTGAATACCCGCAAGTTAAGGTGGCTTGAGCTGTCTCAGAATGCTGAAACTCCTTTGGGGGTACTGGTGCAGCGCAAAATATTGGCTGCTCAGACAGTATTAAAGTAATCGTTGTCAAAACCCACCTGTTTTATATAGGATTAATATGCACGTAAACTTTACAAACCTTGTTAACTTGAAAAGGCTTTACAAGCTCATTTGAAAATGGTATGACCCGATCATACAAGGATCTTTTCAATTGTTTCACCAGCCAAATATCCTCAGAAACATAAGGGGATCTTCCGACAGTAATAGAATGGAGGTAAACAGGTTGAAGAAAGTATGAAAGCAGAGCCCCTAAGATAAGACAGAAATTTTTAATATCCAAAGACACAACACCAGTGCAAAGCAGTTCACTAAATGGAATCAGGAAATCCAAAAGGTCAGTAAAATGTCAAAATGAAAAGGAAAACATATATGGTGCATGGTTATACATGGTTCCACATTGATGATAATAGAAACGAAGCATGTAACATGCAAATGATCATAGATTACACGTGTAACAGTAAACACGTTCTGTGTTTGTGTGCATTGTATAAACTACAACACCTAATTGTCCAGATTCCAGGCCATTGCATGAATGCATTATTGTGCGATTACTTCATGGCAAATGATGAACCTTGAACTCCAACAACATTCCAACGAGCTATTTTGTCAGAGCAGCTAACTGACAATGTTGTATCGCCTCGACCAGGCTTCCTCTGAACCAAGCCAATTAGTTGTGAGCTATCTCCTGAAAATAAATTTTCTAATTAGTCCATTTCTATAAAACATAATTGTTTTTTTACTGGAATATTCATTATCAATGGAAAAGAAAATGATGATACCAACGCAATCAAAAGCACACGGTTCATGCATACTACAATTAAAACTAACACTTCCAAAAATCACTTCAGGAACCCACATGAAAATTTCAAAGAAATTTTAAAAACAGACTGACCATGCTCTTTAATTGAAGATGGTGCCGAACTAAGTGAAGCATCCCCACCTACCAAACTCAACCAAGAGGTAGAAATTCAAAATCCAAGTCTTTATATGAAAGCTTATAACTTTTGTATGAAGCTGAAAACTCAAGAAGTAGAACATTAGAAGATAAATAAAAGATATTATTAAGAATTACATGGCATCTGAGATATGTACAAATGAAATTTCCACCCTGCTCGGAGTTTATATTTTATTTCACCAGAACCACCCGATTCCAACTGGCAAACCGAGTGTTCAAGGCAACCGGTTTGCAGCTCTGATGTGCCATTTTGTTCTTCTTTATTCGAGTTGTTATTAAGGCGTTGAATCTTCCCATATAAGAACCTGAATCGATCACAAAGGGGGGAAATAAAAAAATCTTAAGACTCACTTAAACCTAATCCAAGTCCAAGAGCTAACTATTTATAGAAATTCCTAAACCCTTCATTCCATTTAGTACCAAACAAATCCAAACAATGACAAAAGGAAAATAGGAGGGAATGAAAAAAAAGGGGACCTTAACAAAGCCCTGCGAGCAATAATTTCAGCATGGGAATCATTCACAATGTCACCGCGATGGGTTAATCGAGAGCGCCCTATGCATTTCGTTCCTGTGCCTAATGCAACCACTTCCATATCTGAACTGCAAAAATATAAGTAAATCAACGGAAATTAAAGCAACGGAGAGTTCGTTATCACAGCTGCAATGAGAGCATCACCTTGGAGTTTAGATCATTATAACTTAAAGCTAATATTAGGGTTCTAGAGATTGACCTTGAGAGGGAGATGAGAGAAGAAAAGCAGCCAAAACGGAGACTTCACGTCCCTGAGGCTTCCCCTTCTTTGTAAGTGAGCTATAGAGTGAAAACACTTTGTCTGCAACTATGGGTCCCCATTGTTTTTCTTCAACTTCCAACTCGGACTCCATTGCAGCAAGTCAAGCAACCGAAAACTGAAATGGTGAGACTGAAGTGTGAAGCTTTCCCTATTTTATACCTTTCACTTTGATTGAACCTGGGCTGGGCATGGGTTTGTTGTTCGGCTCAATTGAGGGATTTTTCGAGCTTGGGTTTGTTGTTCGGCTCAATTGAGGGATTTTTCGTTAACTGAGAAAGTACACCATACAGCTTAAATTATGACTTTTTAAATTTTAAAAGATTATAATTAATTTTTTAATATTAGTACCAAAGTAATGTTGTTTGATTTTGTTAGTTTACATTTGTATTTTGATGTATTTATAATTATGTTTTCGTTTAACTTTGTCCAGTAAAAGATATCATAACTATCGATACTTTTAGGTTCTCGATGAAAGTTTCTTCCATTAGTCTTCTTCTTGATTTGTGGTTCTATGAAATTTCTTGATTGCTTGTTTCTTCTGATGTTTGATTTCTTTGTTCGTTTGTATATGACATTATGTTGGTTGTGAGACATATGTCTCGGTTGAGACTACAGTTAAGGAATGGTTGAATTTTCATTCATCCACTTTAGATATTTAGGTTTCTTCCTCTATGTTCAATGTTTGGGAATGTTGGAGTAATCGATCTTTATATGACATTGCTTCAACCGTTCACACTCTTATTTATTAGATTATCATTGTGATTGCAGTTAAGGGATGGTTGATTTTTCATTCGTCCACTTTGGATATTCTTTAGGTTTCTTCCTCTATATTCAATGTTTGGGAATGTTGGAGTAATCGATCTCCATATGACGTTGATTCAAACGTTCATACTCTTATTTATTAGACTATCATTGTGTGTGAACTCTTCCAATTCGATTGGACTTGGGCTGGCCTGGTAATTAGTTAATGGGGCATCGTCGAACATTTCAGTTGATTGCGTTCATTTAGTCTAAGCCAACCGCACACTGTGGTAATGAAGGAAACAAAGCTTTAGACATGTAATTGTTGTAACGTGCATGTCTAAAGCATACATTAAAGTTGTTTCATCATTGAATTAACAATGACGATAAATATGAAAGAAGAATGATGGAAGACAAATTGGTCCCACTTGATTCACATTAAGTAAGAAAGGGGCCCAATGGCATGCGCACGCAGCTGGGCTGGTCACCACTAACTACCAACGGCTCACCTCCCTCCCGGCCACCACCACGGCAATCCAACATGGGGTGTCGTCGTTTCATTTAACGCAAAATGACAAAACGAAAAGGAATAAAATATTGTGCATCTTTTTTTTAATGCAAAAGATAACTTTTGTTCTTGCACCTAATTTATCACTTTTATCTCTACATATTTTCGTATTAATTTGATCATCATTCTATTTATAATTTTATAATCTCTAAACCTTAAAACTTAAATCTTAACTTGATAAATTGATAATAAAATGATCAATCGAATCTACTATAAGAGCAAATATGATATTTTTTAAAGATAATATTGCTCCTCTCGAAAACTGACAACACACGCATCGGATTCTGTTGCCGCTCCTCCATTTCAACGTGTCTGTAATTTTCAACCCAACGGTGCGACGCAAAAAGCCAAAGGGGCTATCAACTCGTCAAACCAATCAATACCACCGGCGGGCCCTTCACCCTCATCATCACCAAGTTAGTTTTGCCTTTAAGTTTGGGGTAAACACCAAATTCATCACTTCCATTTGATATATTTCTGTTTTAGTCATTAAACTTTACATTTCTTTATTTCATTTTTAACAATCCCGTCCTTTTATCACCATGTCTCTAATTATAGGTTAAATTATGAGTTTATTACTTAAATTATCAATTTTAGTCTGTTTTAATACTTAAACTTTTAATTTTTTTAAATTTATATTTAAAATTTAGTTTTTTCTTTCATTTTAGTACTCCGCTGTTAAAAAATTTAGTTTTTGTTTCATTTAAGTACTCCATTCAAAATTAAGCGTTAACTTTTGAAAAAAAGTCAAAAGTTTAGGTACTAAAATATACCAAAATTAATTTTTTATGTGTCAAATGTGTGAATTTTTAATGGGGTTACTAAAATGAAATGAAAACTAAACGATAGATATGATTTTGAAAAATTAAAAATTTAGATAGTAAAACGGACTAAATCTGATAGTTTAGGTGTTAAATATGATAGGACGATGAAGATTGTAAATTAGAGTTGTTTTCCTCTGAATTTGGTGGTCAAAATAAAAACAGGGTCGAAGTTGAACTATGAAAAGGCGTAATTTACCTTAAAGTGTATGTTTTAAAATATACCCTCGGTCGTCGAATCTCACTTGCCGACATACGTGGCACAGTTTAACCACTTTACCTGTCGGCATAAAATATTTCACTCCCTACTTATTACAGACAATATTTGTCTCTTTCGAAACAGAGTAGCCGTTGGATCGAGTAAATGAAGATTAGTATCCAAAATAACGGCAGATCAACGACTACGAACTACGCAGGTATAAAAATCCATCATTAAAGCTAGTTCTCACAACATAGATTTTTGAATACTCGATAGATATCCATCACGAAAGCTGTACACTTGTAGTCTTAATTATGGCGGAGGAAATGAAGAAGGAAGTTGCAGCTGAAACGCCCGCCGCTCCTCCTCCGGCGCCCGCTGCGGAGGCTCTGGACGCTGATTCCGAGAAAACTACCGTAGCTCCACCGCCAGCGGAGGAAAAACCTGAAGAATCGAAAGCTCTTGTGGTGGCTGAGGGTAAGATTTGTTGCCACATGATTCGCTTATCATGTGGCATTTAATAAACGATTATGGGAACTTTATTTCATTGCTTTGACAACCTGACGCCTGGTGCTACACCCTGTCTTCTTTACTTGCTTTTAAGATTCCAAATCCAACGTTTATATGAATCGATAGAAGTACCTTTGATTTTCCCAGTTTTTGCTGATAGTTTTAGATCAAGTTTTACTATACTCTTTCTTCAACGTCGGTTCTCTCCATGGATTCAAAAATGAGTGAGCTTTGTTTAACTCAAATGATGTACCAATTTTCAAGATATTCTTCTATTGTGTTCTAACAGTATTTTTTTTTCATTTTGACAGAAGCCCCGGAGCCAGAACCAAAGAAAACTTCGAGTGGCTCACATGACAGAGGTTTACTTCTCTTTCTGGTACCAAAATAACCTTTTTTTAGGCCACTGTGGCTCTAAGGTTGGTCCCTTTTTTTTCAGACGTTGCCCTTGCAGAGGTTGAAAAGGAGAAAAGGCTGTCATTCATCAGGGCATGGGAAGATAATGAAAAGACCAAAGCAGAGAACAAGCAAGTCCCAAAACCCTATTTTCTTAACTATAATGTAATTGATGTATGTATGCATGCATGCATGTAAATATATATATGTATCTTATCAACTTTACTGTAACTGGTGAGCAGGGCCCAGAAAAAGCTCTCTGCTATTGTAGCATGGGAGAACAGCAAGAAAGCAGCTCTGGAAGCAAACCTGAGAAAAATTGAGGTACGTTTTTTTCCCCAGTCCTTTTTGGATGATGAAAGGAAGAATATTCGACATTCGTGTTCGATTCGATATGCGTTTAGAGATAGGTATTCCGGTTTATGTAAAAACTTAGGGGGAAAGATGAACATACACGTACACATGCAGTCAGACTAGTGTTAGATACGTACACATTTTCGTAATCCTGGTAATTCTAAGATGTGGAAGCTTTGGCAGGAACAATTGGAAAAGAAGAAAGCAGAATATGCAGAGAAAATGAAAAACAAGGCAGCCTTACTTCACAAGGAAGCAGAGGAAAAGAAGGCAATGGTCGAAGCCAGACGCGGAGAAGAGCTTCTCAAGGCAGAAGAAATGGCCGCAAAATACCGCGCAACTGGACACACACCGAAAAAGCTCCTCGGCTGCTTCTGAAAGTCACGAAATTTCCGGTCCGGTCTCAAAGCAAATTCTGTTAATACTGTTTTCATTGCCACACTTTTTCTTGTTTGTATTTTGTAACTCCCCCCGTTTTCAACTGTATCATCTGTCTTGTCTGTTTCTATGTCGTTTCATGTATGAACAGAATGTAAGAACATCAGAATTATCTATAATTGAATTGAATGTGTTGATATAGGAATATCATTTTTTTTGTTTCTTTGAGAACAAGTTTGAGGGTTTTCTCATATGGATTGTGATAGAATTGGTTAACGTTTTGGTGCACAGATGATGTTATTCGAGAACGATAATCAAATACGGGTATATGTTTAATATAGGCCAATAAGCAGTAACCTTAGCATACAACTGGTTTTTGGCACTTGAATCTGGATCAAAGTTCATGCCTACAAGTAACCTTCGAAGGGGAGGTAAGATATTTATCAGGATCAGTGTTTTCCAAGAAACTCATATCGTTGTTAATGGGGAAATCCAACAGAAATTGCAGTGCGGTATCTGATGAATCATCTGACTTGTTTGAACACGATGTGTTAGATGCATTGATCGGATCCTCGGTGCATGACTTGAATCTCTTGCATTCAATATCCTCAACTTGATTGCTTTCAGCTATGTTGGGGCAACTGTCAACTGTAACAGATGAAGTAGTTTGCAAGATGGGGCTTTGACATATAGATTTATCTTCTTTTTATTCAGCTTTCGAAATGATTCTCCAACTTCAGAATTCCATAACCGTAGGAAATAATCAGAGTTGGATTTGAAGAGCGATGACTCCTGTGAAAGGCGAGCTTCGGCTTCGAGTCTAGTACTCTCCCATTGAGCCATATGACGGGTGGCTGGAGAGGTAGGTGCCGCAGTTGTTGGATCGCTTGGGGTGATTGGCTCGTGAGTCTTCGGATCAAGACCATTGCGAATTAGGCGTTTCTTCAGGTGTGTGTTCCATAGGTTCTTGATCTCGTTGTCGGTTCGCCCTGCTAATCGAGAAGCAATGGCAGCCCACCTGGAATTCATTAAAGAAGAAAGAAATGAAACCCTTTCCATTCTCAAAAACTAACCATTTCGAATTCCGAAACGGCAACATGCCTGTTTCCAAGGATGCCATGAAGCTGAATGACAAGGTTCTCTTCCTCAACGGTGAAGGGACTGCGCTTTATGTCCGGCCTAAGATAATTCGTCCATCGAAGCCTGCAACTCTTGCCGCTACGATGAAGACCTGCCAGTCAAGAAACTGTATAAACATTTCCTACAGGTAAAAAACCAGAAAATAAAGTACAAAAACATGATTTCAGATGGTAATAGATGCCTTAACAGATCTGAAGCCCCGTGAACTTGAAAGTTCATGAGTTAATCCCTTGAAATATATTATTAGTATGAAAGCCTATGATCACTAGTAAAGATCATTAGAAAGAATCATAAGAAAAAAGGGTTTCTTTGGCACTGGAACCTGCAAGCTTAGGAAGAGAACGCCAGCTTCCATGGCCATGTTTGTTAATGTAATTTACGAGCATCTCATCTTCTTCAGGAGACCAAGGCCCTTTCTTCAAGCTTTCCGAGTCACAACACGGCGTCCGCCTCATATTTCTTCAAAAATTAACAAGAAAACTCCCAGTAATAAGAGTAAAGAGAGTGAGAGTTTACAGTTTTGGAGTGACAAGTGCCGTGAAGTGAAACATTTAACATACAAAAGAGATGGTACAATGAGAGAGAGAGAAAGAGATACGCTTTAAATGCGAGCTTCAGAGTTTAGATTATCTAATAATCTTGAATGCTGAAAATCATCATTGAGACCAACAAAAAAATTGTACAGACAGTGAAGAGTTAATGAGGACACCTTGTTTTCTCGAGTAATTGCTACGAAAATGACATGCATGGATTTACACAACCATGAATCAGCATTCAGCTCGCACCCACATTTTATTTTTTGTTTGTTTAGTGAGAAAATGAGGGAAAAGAGGAACTAATTTACGCCGTTTGTTTTGAACAGAGTTCCTGCTGCAGGTGTTCATAGTGTACAGGGCAAAACAATGGGACATTAGAACATGCATGTATATGTAGCACGTATTGGTTGAAGAATTCACTTTTACTTCGTTTGTTTGGATCCCGGGAAAATATATATTTCTGGGATTGTTCTGCTTGTCTGTTTCCTGTTTGAAAACATATAAAAGGCAGACGAAACAGAGTGGAGTAAATGTTGAAGTAGAAAGAAGACTAATGTATGGCAAAGCAAAGTCTTTTCAGATTGTGAGTGTAATAAATGTGGTCAATACACGGTCCAAAAGAGGAACATTTCGAAATTAATGTAAACATAAATAAATAGTATATCTCGTTAAAATAGTGGAAATATTAAAATAAATACCTTTAATTATTATATGAATTGAATGTAAAAAAAATAAAATGTTATTACATAATTATCATGTTGTCGAATTCTAACATATAAGAATGATAGTTTAATTTGAATTCGAGAGATTTCAACTTCATTTGAATGGGTTGTTTTTTTTTTTAAATAAAATTTTTAAAACATTAAAACTAAATTATAGTTCAATTAAATTCAAGTTTAATGTGAAAATTTTTAATTTAAGGGTCACATTTGTTCCGGTAGTAGTTTTAATTTATTATTTTTACTTTTATCGTATTTTTCGTATTAATTTAATCATCAAAGTTGTTTAATTGCATCATTCTATAATCTACCCTAATTTAACCCCCAAATTATAAATTATGACTTAGAGTTAGGGTTTAGATGTTACATGATTATGATTTTATGGTTTATGTATTATATTATTATGATTTAGGGTTTATAATTTAAGGTTTTCAGTTAAGATATGATATAGAATGATGTAATTCAACAACTCCATAAATATATTGATGCGAAAATACAATAGAAACGAAATTAATAAATTAAATCTACTATAATAATAAAAGTTATCCTTTTACCGGAAATCTTCGACTCACAATGCAAATGAATATGTATATATCATAAACCACTAAATGATTATTCAATCTTTCTATTAGTTTTTTTTTTTGTCCCTGTAATTTTTATGCTTTTATCTAACTTTGTTTGCTCTTTTTCTTTGGACTATTGTGTGTTTTTTTAGGATGAGATTAATTTTATAATTATATTGATTAATAATCTTTTTAATAGGGACTTAAACATAATTTATGATTTCTCGAAGGAGTTGAGCATAAATTTTAGTTTTACGATTATATTTGGACCAAATGGATAAGGGAATTGATTAATGTCCTAAAGCCAAAAAAAAATCGACGCGCCAATGGCACGAGACAACGTCGGTTCCAGCGCGGGTCCCTTTGGTTTGGACTTCGAATTTTGGTGGTAGTTGATCGTTATCCTCAACGTGGCTAGGAAGTGTAAACTTCACCTTCATTTCAAGCACGTGTATCACACTGACCAACCATATCGCTTCCCTTACAACACTCTTTGAAACACACGCTATCCCGTTTCCCATTTGTCGCCGCTAAATCTCAAGATCATTTTATTTAAATCAAATTTTAGATTAAAATAAAGTTTTTAACATTCTTATTCTGTTGTTTGGTTGTTCGAGCAGTGATATCTCAACCGTTAGCTCTCGACTCTCTTCATTCTCAACTTACTAAAACCCTAATATCTAAGCACACACGTCTTATTTCTCATCAACGTTCTGGTAATTTTCCTTTCTTCTCTTTTCCCATTTTAATTAGAGTTTTTATTGCTTAAATTGAAGAATATGTTTAGTTGGAATCTTTGTATTTGCTTACATTTTAGTATTCTTATATTTTCATTGTTGTTGTTGAAGAATGCATCTTTATTACATTAAAAATTGATGTTACAGTAGCAGTGTTTAGGGTTTGTATGAAGCTAGGCGATCGTTGAGATGGCTACCATATCATTAGTAGCTGGAAATTGTGGAAGAGGAAGAGGAGTTGAAGATGGAAGGTTTGAGTTCAGGTCAAACTCATATTTTGGGAAGGACTTTTTGGCTAGTGAATTGCTTTCTAGTTCATTTAGAAGAGCAGTTTGGCATCGGTCAAAAGCTTTAAAAGGTTCCAGGAATGAAAATGGGAGAAGGTTTAGTGTTGTTGCCAAAGTTAAGAAAGGGAAGAAGCATGATTACCCCTGGCCAGATAATATTGACCCAAATATCAAAGATGGACACTTAACTTACCTGTCTCACTTCAAGCCGTTGGATGAGAAACCGAAACCGGTGACTCTACCATTTGAGAAGCCACTGGTTGATCTCGAGAAAAAGATTATTGAGGTAAGTTACTTTTCATCGGTTTCCTATTCATTTGTTTACTTATTCAGGATATTTGAAGCATTTTAATGTTTTTGTGCATGCTCTTTAAAAACTCATTCTTTTTTGTAAAGCTACATGGTGAGGATTCATGAAGAGTGAAACAAGGGACACAGTTTTCAGCTTTATTATGTCATGTCAATATTTTGTTTTGTTTTTTATCTTAAAATGGAGCCACTTTCTTTCTTTATGCCATGATGTTTTAGGTGTTCGTAAGCACAAAATTGAGATGTCGAGTCTTTCTAATTCTAATGACTTTGTTATTTTTCTCAATACAATTTTGTGCAGGTATGCAGAATGGCTGATGAAACCGGTCTGGATTTTACTGATCAAATTGGAGCTTTGGAAAACAAGTATCAACAGGTTAATCTTATGTTTTCTTTTTCTCATCTTGTCAGCTTGTTTTAAGGATTTTGTGAATGGACTCCCAAAGAGCACTCTTTAAGGCTACTATATGAAGTAATATCTTCACCCTAAGTGTGGAAATCATCAAAAAAGTTGTCATCTATTGCATTTAATACAAGGATATGGCATAGGGGTGCAATAAGGATACTCACTAGCAGAATCCTTGTTTAATATTGATTGACTGGTATACTCTGTAAAAGTTGTATGAAGCTAGGCGATCAGTTTCTCTTGTCAAAATGTAGGCATGGGTTCCATTTTCCTAGGCTTCTAGTTTATCAGTTGTTACAGTTTGAAGTTCGCTGATTCAGTCCGAGTAATCTTTGCATAGGCCTTTGTTGGTTGCTTAAATATTCTACTAAAATTGCAATCCACATTTACTTTTCACTGAAATGCTTATTGCTATAACCATAACATTTTATCCGTTCTAAACATCAGGCTCTGAAAGATTTATACACACATTTGACACCTATTCAACGGTTGGCCATTGCCCGACATCCCAACAGACCCACAGCTCTTGATCATATATTAAATATCACAGAGAAGGTATTTCAATGGTACACAACTTTGATATGTTTTTGCCCTGCAGTCTTACTCTTTTTACTGTCATATAGTGGGTGGAACTCCATGGAGATCGTGCCGGTTATGACGATCCAGCCATGGTAACTGGTATTGGAACCATGGATGGTAAGAGCTACATGTTCATAGGCCAGCAGAAAGGTAGGAATACAAAGGAGAGCATTTTTCGCAATTTTGCAATGCCAACTCCCCATGGGTACGTTTCAAGGATATTTTATTTGAACAAGTAATTTTAAGGCTCAGCTTGCATGAGATGTCATGTCTATTTGATATTAGAATTGTCCTGGAATTTTCTTATGTTATGTTACTTCATGAAAGATGCACAGGTAACCGAGAAGTGATCAGTCTCTAATATTTGAAAAAGCCTACTGAAAGTAGTTTTAATCTTATCTGTACATTGATCATAAACAAATACTCATATGAAAGCTCTTTTTACAAAACAGCTATCGAAAGGCTTGAGAAGATGAAGTATGCTGATCATCATGGTCTTCTATTATAACATTGGTTGACATCCTGGGGCCTGGAACTCCATGGAGATCGTGCCGGTTATGACGATCCAGCCATGGTAACTGGTATTGGAACCATGGATGGTAAGAGCTACATGTTCATAGGCCAGCAGAAAGGTAGGAATACAAAGGAGAGCATTTTTCGCAATTTTGCAATGCCAACTCCCCATGGGTACGTTTCAAGGATATTTTATTTGAACAAGTAATTTTAAGGCTCAGCTTGCATGAGATGTCATGTCTATTTGATATTAGAATTGTCCTGGAATTTTCTTATGTTATGTTACTTCATGAAAGATGCACAGGTAACCGAGAAGTGATCAGTCTCTAATATTTGAAAAAGCCTACTGAAAGTAGTTTTAATCTTATCTGTTACATTTGATCCATAAACAAATACTCATATGAAAGCTCTTTTTACAAACAGCTATCGAAAGGCTTTGAGAATGATGAAGTATGCTGATCATCATGGTCTTCCTATTATAACATTGGTTGACACTCCTGGGGCCTACGCTGATCTCAAATCAGAGGAACTTGGTCAAGTGTGTCAAACTATCTTCTCACATTGGAAATTGTGATATTTCATACTCTGAATTCTGAAACACCCAGTTCATATAATAACATAACCCATTTCGTGTTTTACCCTATACAGGGGGAAGCAATTGCCCACAACTTGAGGACAATGTTTGGCCTTAAAGTGCCAATTGTGACGGTTGTTGTTGGTGAAGGTGGTTCTGGTGGGGCTCTTGCCATTGCTTGTCCCAATAAATTGCTTATGCTTGAGAACTCTGTTCTATATGTTGCAAGGTGGAATTAGTTCCTCCCCCTCTTATTCAGTAGCATC